CGCACGGATCGGCGGCGGCAGCTCGGGGACCGCCGCTGCCCCGGCTGCCATGAGTTGTGCGGAGGTGATGTATCACCCCCAGCCGTATGGAGCGCCCCAGTATCTGCCCAACCCTGTGGCAGCTGCAACCTGCCCCACAGCCTACTACCACCCGTCGCCCCAACCTGGCCAGCAGGTGAGTCACGGGCCGGGCAGCCAGCCGGGGGCGGGGGCGGGGGCGGGGGCCAGGGGCGCCGCGAGCGTCGGGCTGGGGCTTCGGCGACGTCCCGTGGGGGGCCGTGGCGCGGAGGATGCTCTGGGACCTGCGGAAGCGCCCCGAGCAGAAAGCGATCAGAAGAGAGGAGGCGAGGCTTCAGGAAGGGACGCGCGGGGGGCGGACGGCGGGGGCTGGAAGCGAGGCATTACCTGGCTGGGGGCTTCGGGGAGTGTGTCACCGGAACTCACAGGCGCCCCTCATAGCCACCCCAGCTCTTAGGGCTCAGTTCTCTGAAGCTCACCAAGGGCATCTGTCCTAGGAGTATGTGAGTAAACTTCCCTTAAACCAAATATTTTGTTTCTTTTGGAGAGGTTGAGTGTTTCAGGGTTTCCTTGATTGAGGGGATGAAATGTGTCCCTGACATCGATAGGGGAGGTAGCCTTACCTGGACGGTGAGCTCAGGGAATGGGGATTTTTCTGGTAGAACACGGTGTGGAGTAACGTCTCTCAAACGTTACTAGAACTTCTTTGCAGACTGTGTCTTCTTAAGACTACCACTTAGAGGACGGGGATTAGTCCCCAAGTTCCTCATTCACTTTTAAAAAAATTAAATGTATTTGGGTAACAATGGTTTAATAACATTAAATGTTGCAGCTGTACAGTTCTTTAATACATCATCTGTATATTGCCTCGTGTGCTCACCACCCAAAGTCTAGTCTCCTGTCACCATATATTTTACCCCTGTGCCCTCTTCATCCTCACCCCACCCGCATTCACCCTGCATTCCACCAAAGCACAGAGGTGTTAGAGTTCAGCCTGTTGGAAGTGTGGTGTGTGTGTGTGTGTGTGTGTGTGTGTGTGTGTCCTTCTGGCCAAGAGGTGCCTTGGATCAGGGTTCTCTACCATGTCGAGAGTGACTGAGAACGCTGTTGGTGAGAGGGGTCCGGGAGCCAGGGAGATGACATAGTCCTTCAGAAGGGAGAGTACGGCTCTGGGGAACTGGACACTCAGTACCCCTGGGTATTCCTCTCTGGACACCAGTAGAGTGTGTCAAAGCTTAGTTATGCTGCACAAGACACAGGCGAGTGCTGGCTCTGGGTTATAGCAAATCAGGATCTTCAGACCCTTAGGATTAGAGTGGGTTGATTTGGTGAGACTTAAAAAATACACTTATGAGGGAACTAGGTAAGGTTAGAAAATTACAATCCACTGAATTTATTGATTTGTTGTTTCTCAAGAACTATATGTTTTATGACAGTCTTAAGGGTTTGGCTCTTTAGTTAATCTGGCCTTTTAATTTCTATATATTTTTTTCCTCTGTCTCTTTGCTAGATTTGTAGTGCTATAGTGCTACTCTTTGGAAAGAAATCATAACTTCTGTTTAGAATTGAGGGACTGTGAAGTTCATCTGATTCGGAAAGGGTTCATGCCTCAGATTTTTCTGCCACACAATGAGGTTCGCAAGGACCAACTAAGACTACTTTCTTGCTATCATTTTTATTATTTAATATTCAGCAGGCTCAGCATCTCAGAGATTACTTTTGGGGAGGAGAATGGGAAAACATTTTGTAATTTGTGGTCAAGGATGACAGAGTAAAACATTTTGGTTATGCTGTTTGTCTTTCTTTGGCTTTAAATATAAAAGATATAAATAATGAAGAAAACCATTTAGTACAAGTTAGGGAGTGAGGCAAAGAGGTGCTGGAAGTCAGTGTCTGTGTTTAATAACACTGTCCTGGGTGACACACCCTTTCCTCCTCTCCTTGCGTCCATCGCAGGGACGGTAGAGGCCCTCAATTATCAGTTGGAATGTGGATGTGCAACAGACTAAGACTTTACTGAACATCCAGGAAGGTATTTTTCCCCTTAAAAAATAACTTGAATTAGTAGATGTGAATAAGGTTTTATTTTCTAGAGTTGTGAAAATAACCCCATTAAAATATGAAGAATCTGTGACCGGGGTTAGAACTATAATACTTTTTTTGAGCTAGACTTTAAAATTTAATAACAGAAAATTTATAAATTACAAGCCACAACATTTAGCTTTCAATAAGAAACAACTCCAGTCCTTTACCTAACATTTGCAATAGACCTGAGACTCAATCCCCAAATTTCATTCTTTTGCTAAGACTATCAATAAACTGAAGAATGAGCTCTTTCTGTTACCTGACTTGTCAACATTGGCAAGGGGCACATATTAGTAAATAATGACCAATTTCCACTGTACTTTGGAATTCTGTAGATCTTGTTTGAATAGATGTGTGGCTGAGTTGACCTAGATAACCTAGTTGAGAGATGTGCTTGCAAATTTTTATCTTGCTTTTACCAAAATGGCTTGTTCAAGATTAATTCTTTTTTTTAGTCAAGTAAAGAAACTATTTGCCTATAACTGGCTAACAAATGAAAAAGAGACTTGCTAGTATAACTATTGTTCTTTCACCGTCAGGAGTTTATTTTGATGACCTATATTTTCTATTGGAAAAAAGAGTAAATCAGGAAATTCTTATCAGGCTGACAGCATTTTTAGACTGTGTGGTGCGTGGGTGAAGTGGGACTGATACTGACTTGGCCCCAATGCAGTCATCTGAGAATACATATTTTGGTTGTTTTTGCATTCCATAAGGTTTTATCATTATTATCCATGAAGATCCTTTTCTCCGTACATGGGAAGTGACCCCTAATAACATCTTGCCTGGGAGACAAAAATAAGGGCTACTACTTCTACTGCATTTAAACTTTTGATTTGTTGAGGAGGAAAAAAAGGGGGGAAAAAGCAGAAAAAATGATAGAGTTATTAATAAAGTGTAATGATCATTAATAAAATGTTAGAAGACAGAGCACTGAAGTTTTATATGACTTCTGTATTCAGTTGTAGTAGTGTATCTTTGAACTGATTTTTTCTCAAATCTATATAGCTCTGAAGTTCTTGTAAATTGGTGTATACTTTAAAATGGTTCATTATGATGGATTTTTAAACATAGGTATATTTGTCCTCTTCATGTATGACCATATAGCTGAAAAAAAAAATTTGGAACACTAGAACTTCCTACTCCAGACATGTGTACTTTCAACTTTTTCCTAACAGCAGACATGTACACTTAAAATTTTAAGCTAAGGTTTTTATTGAACGTATACATTGTAGGTGGGTAATGGGTTAGTACTGTAAAGCCATAGCTAACTGCAATGTGTTACCTAGGTGTAGAGTAGGCTGAATGAATCCAAGTAATATGCAAATATGTCTGGGTAAATTGTATAGGCCCTGGCGTTCATTCCTAGAAACTGCATGGCTCTGCATAAATCTTGCCGTGTTCTCTGCAGAGTCAGGATTTGCCAAGAATGCTAAACTCCCTGGCCCACCATCTCTTTATAGCCTTACTACATCAGCCCCTCACATCTCATGAGAACTCTTGACTCAGTCTTTCGGCACATGCTCTGAAGGCAGGATGACACTGCAGAACATGTGTAGAGAGGAATGCGCTTGTATTCTAACAGTGACAGTAGGAACCAAGAAAAAAATTCAAAATATGTGTCAGGAAACATTGAGGGAAATGATCTGAAATCATAGATTCTCTTCATACCCAGTGGATTTCTCATCTTAAGTGCAGACAGTCTGTTGTTCTCTGACCCCGCCCCACCCTCTATAATAATGTTAACCTCGGGAAGATGCTTAAAGCAAAACTTTCAGAATTGTAGAATTCGTAGATGGGGTAGTGAAAGCTGAGAACAATAGCTACTTTTCTAATTGGACGTAGGAAGTTTTAACAATCAGACTTCGGGCTTCAAGTAAGAGCACGTTTACTCTGTCCTCTTCAAAGATGACAGTCACTGCATGCATCTTTCACTTGAAAGAATTCAATGCCCTTGGGAGGAACTCCAGTTATAAATTTGTAGGAGTTCAAACTCTTCCTCTGGACTCTGCCACCTCGGTTAAGTAATAAAACCTCTCTGAGATTTTGTTTGTCAGGGGGAAAAAACTGGAAAAACCTGCCTCAAGCCCTCCTTTTACAAACAGGAACATGGATAGTGATAGGACTCAGATGCCTGGCTAAATATCTCAAAGCTAATTGGTGACAAAATTAGAACCTTCAGAATTCCCTACTCCCCAATATAGCATCTTTCCACCATGCCATGCAGTATCCCAAGATTTTTTTTTTTTTGCTATTGCACAATAAGCTTATTCTTGTCTTTCGCGCTCCAAATCAACTTCTTGATAAAGAAGATTAATATGCAGTAGATTCTTTGGCCTTGGAGCTTGAAATTCTTTCCAAGTCCTTGGTAGTGTACTTTTTTAGTTTAGGCATTCCAAAGTCCTTTTGCAAGCATTTGTATTATGCTAATGACTTTTGCTATCCATGTTGCATCCTTTGTTGATGAGGTAGGATATCCACTTAGCAAATGAACATTTATTTATTTAAAATAATATGCAAGAAGTGGTATTAGCAGTCAGCTTTAAGTGCCTCATATTTCATTGCTATCCCAACATAAGTTTAGATTCATGAAGAAGAACGAATACAATTATATCTTAAGTAGTTTCAATACACAGTCCACTTATTTACGGTGCAGGATCTAATTTTTTTTGCAACTGTAAACAAGGACTTAAGTGGGTTTATAAGAATTCATCCAGGACTTTCTTTGAGAAAAAACAGCCCCTATAATTCCACACCACACAGATTTACTTGACTGCAGAGACTCAGGAGCTGAATGTGCCCCACAGTTTTATGCTCCCAATAACTTTGCAGCCAGAAGATTCAAAGCTAGAGAAGAAAATTAAACTTTAAAATAACTAACTGAACTGTTGTCTCTGGCAGTCAACCAGAATGAAGATTACAATACTGATAGTAAAGGCAGGCTTGAAATCTATAAAATCATTCGGAGTGATGGAAACCAAATGCCAGGACAAGGTAACGCTCTTTGAAAATTGAAGTGAAGGGTATTTTGGATAAATGCAAGGAAGCTCCACTTCACTGAGCACCTATTAA